TCCCCATAGTATCATTATCTGCTGGCCGAACTGGGACTGAACTCAGGGTTACAGAACAATCAGATTGAACTGTTGGTTCTAATACAGGATCAGGAATTGGCTCAATAACAGTTTGTGGGACAGAAAACTCCACTGGATGGCAACCAGGCCAAACTGTTCTAGGAATAAACTCTGGTACAGTAGGACTCACACTGCACTGCCATGAGAACTTATTTGGATGAAATGGGCCACTAGTTATAGGAAAAGTAGTCGTTTGCACAGCTTGAGGCTGAGTATATGGAGGGTACATATAGGGCAGTGGCTGCATGAGGTTTGGTGTTGAAGGAGGTGATGGGTATGGTTGGTGGGGGGAAGAGCACATTGGATTTGGTAAGACTGCAGCAGGACCAGGATGAAGAGTCATGTTTACTGGCCAAGGTGCAACAGCTGGAAGAGCACCAGGACCTGGAGGAAGGTTAATGTTCATGGCAACTGGTGTAGGACGAGAAATTATAGGGGATGGATTGAATGGAGCTGCTGATGCAGACAATTTCTTGTTGGGTAACACCCTAGTATCACTTGAACTCGGAATTAATTGTTTATCCTTCAAATCATCAATTCCATGCACAGTGGAGTTCTGATCATTCTGAGGTTCAATACTACTAGATGATTCCTTCTCAGGAACTTCATTCTTGGGAGAATCAATAGGATCAGGTATGCAGTCAATCAATGTACTATCTTGCTCAGCATTATCAACATTATCAGCACCAGACTCCGGTTCTTGCATGCCTTCAGGGATCACCGAAGAAGGCTTGGGTTCTATAACTTCAGTTGACTGATTTTCTTCTTTCTTCTCAAGAAGTCCAACCTCCTCTTTTGAGTAATCTGATGAGTTTGATGTAGAACTCTCATTCTTCTCCTTTAGTATTTCTTCCATCCCCATAATTATTTGCTCAGTATCTTTTTCTTCCATTAGTCTTTCCTCTTCATGTTTTTCAACCACCAATTCATGCTTATCTAAAGTATCGGTCTGTGGCATCCAGACCTGCAACTTAGCAATGGTACCAGGGGGTGCCAGAGCAACTTCTTTGTAAGAAGGAGATTTCCCAAGATTGATAATTGAGTTTTTCATAGGACATACATCATTTGTTATAGAATTGGGACCAGAGTCTACCAGAGAATCATCAGCTTTGCCTTCATCTCTAGTGATTTCAGTTGCAGGAGCTTTGGTAGAGGAAGGCAGGGACTTGACTCGGTATGCAACAGTTTTTACAATTCTCCGGCTAAATTTGGTACTTTGGAAGGGACTTGCTGAGTTCTGATCCACATAGGTTCCATGGGATGCTGACCTTTTTTTCAGAAGGTAATACCTACCATTCTGAGCTGCCTTGACAGGAGGGCAATCCATGTCTGCATCAGTGTTCTTTTTCTGGTAACTATAGACCCTGCCAAAAGCTGCCCTTCGCTGCTTCAGTCGACGGCCATATAATCCAGCTGACCTTGGTCGCTGAACAGGCTGCCACCCATCATCTCCTTCAGCATGTGCCTCAGGAAAAGTTTCAGTCACAACAACTGGCTTTCTATCTGTAGCCTCATCCATAACAGGAAGTTGGGACTGGACCTGCATAGAGCTGATCTCCTGGTTAGCACCTTGGTCAGCTCTTGATTCAGGTACTTGTGTCTCTCCATCTGATTCTTCATTTGGAGCATCCTTCAGAGATCCTTCAGAACTTTCTGAACTGATATGCTGGTAAGATTTCCCCTTTGCCTACAAGGTGAAGTCCAAAATCAGGATGTGCTTTGCAGGATAATGTGGAGTTATATGTGCAAAGATCAATGCAGTTTTAGCAGTAAGTGCATAGGATGGTGAAATGTTCCTACCACTGCACTGGTTGGAGAATTCCTAGGTTTGTAGAGGATATACTAAGCAGAAATTACTGCTCTCCTCGTAAGTGAAGTTTCCAAAGAAAGCACCTTTTCCTTATACTACTAGACGAATGCCAAGAATGCCAGTTTTTATCAGTTTCATCATGAGATTTATTCATTCATCTTTGGAGTAAAATATTGTCCCTTTCCATTTCCAAATAAAAACTTATTTTTCGGGAGATTGTCTGAATTTTGTTGGAATTGCAGACTGTAATAGCAAAATAATAGTAGTAGTAAAATGCATACTCTCTTTATCCTTAGGTTGCAAGGGAGGTTAATACCATTTCCATAAAGAAGGGGCCATCTACTTGGGAGAGGGGAACTTCCCCAATCTGCATTTCTTATGCATACTATGCATACCATTGCACATCCCTCATGCAATCATTCTTGGGACTGCCTAAATTTGGTTCTGACTTTTGAAGCCTTACTTGCATCAAGATCCAACCTTCAAGAAAGCCCCACTTGCGGCCCATAATTTAGGCCTACTGATTCTTACAAGATCTATGATTAGTTTCAGTTATTAAATGGCTCTAATCCCATTAAAAGTTTTCCTGTCCACAATTTTGCTATTCAATGAGGCTCTCCTAATACGAAAATGTAAGTAGCAAACTACGATAGCAGAAAAAATTAGATAATGTTTCTAATCCTATAATTAGGCAAATAATATAACAGTGGAATAAAGTTATTTCACCAGCATGATCTGAATTAACTAGCTTACCTTCGCAATATAGTTTTTCCTCCTGGCTGCTGCGCTATCTTTCCCTTTTGCATCCTGACTTGGATCAATGTAGTCAAGTAAATCTGATACACTGCCATGTTTCATAAAACATCATCTATTGAAGTAATATTCATTTTCTTTTGCAAGCTTGTAGAAGAGAAAATAGATCGTAAATAAACCTAGCATATGCAAAGCAATAATAATTACGCAACAAAATTCCCTTTCAAAAAAATCCTTGTGACTTTCGTTCTGTCCATCTGTTCTATCCACTACAGCAGCCTCTTAATTATGACGAAGATGCCTTTGCTCAATACTAGCTATTTAGGACACATGCATGAATTTAAAAGCTTCTCCTCAAAGTTTAAAGAACAATAGAAAAGGAGAATATAATCATTCATAGAAGAGAGAGACAGAGAATTTGCACTACATTATCATTCTCAAGAATTTGCAGTTGTCATTCACAGAAGCGAGGATAGAGCTTGTTAGGTGTTAATATTAAAAAGGGATCAGTTGGAAACATTCAATGGAATTTCTATGTTAAAATGAAAAAACCATCTTTATCCTTTATTGATATCATCATATAATTCTTGGTGAGAAATCAGAAGCTTGGCTGATTCCATAGCAACGTGATGGGTGATATGTAGAAGGTCACAATTCTCAAACATTTTCAATTTTGTACTTCCAGTTAAAGCAATTTAAACTAAGAAAACAAATTAATTTTTCTATGTCAACTAGGAGATATGAGCACAAACAAACTTATACAAGTGCGGCTCAAAAGTGATTAGCCAATGAAGTGACAGAAGGAACTGATTCTCCTCAAATATTCAATAATACCAAATGCTAATTTACCTGAGGTGACCTTTACTGGCTATGGATGCATCTGGCTTCCTAGTACCATTTCTCGCAGCTTCCTGTTGTTCAAAAGCTTTGGATTCAAAGTACTCTAGCCAAGCAGCAGCATCCTGAAGCATTTGATTGTATAGAGAAAATTCGATATTAAAACAAATTGTAATTCATGTGGGACTTACCAACCCCACCTCACAACCGGAAGAAGAAAAGAAAAATTCTTTCTGAAAAAAAAAAGCTGATGTCATGTCATGAAATGCCCGAATCACGATCTCAAGTTAGCGAAAGTAAAGAGAAGAAAATCATGGGTCCAAGGCATTCTTTTGCTAGCCCTAGTAACTTTTTATGCCCATCAATTTATTTATTTGCAAGATTTGAAAAATGCAAATTCTTATTTTTTTTTCATTTATTAATTATACCCATCAAGTACATACCAAAAAGTAAATTAGCTTCCAATATAAAATAGGTAGAGAAGTATGTGTGCCTACGAAAAAGGTGAAGCCTCCAATTAATTCTCGAACCTAACAAGGAAGGTACCTGTGTACGGAGATCATCTGGGCCAAGCTTTGCTCGGAGGATCTGCAAGGTTGTCTGTTCATGCTGAACACTTAAAGGATAAGCTTCCATTAACGAGAGTGCAATTGCAATTGCATGGTAACTTGCGGCTGTCTGCATAGCATTCACAAAGAAAGAGACTGGTTCAAAAGATATTCAAGTTTTATTCTTAAAAAAATAATAGTAAAATTCACATACTATAAGAATTTTGGGCACTGTCATATACAAAGAAAAATGTTGGAAGGAGAACACAAGGAGAATAGAAAGAAAGTAGGCAAGAATAGAAGTAGAGAAAGAAAGAGAGGGCATTAAGTTTGGTAACTTCATTCCAGATTCAACTCTGGGACCCCCCATTCTCGAATTCTAGAACATGCAAATTTTCTATCAACCTATTCCTAATCAATAATAATTTGAAATTTCTCCGAAGTACATATTTCCCTTGATCAAAAAATAACCAACAGTCGTATGAAACAATACTTTACGCTTCCTTGACTGCTTCATTATGGGCTCTTGGGGCACAAGATAAAATAGTGATAAAGGCAGTCCTATTTGAAAGTCTCATACTAATACTATCATTGAAGATAAAAAATGATGTGTGTGCAGAAATGAGAAACAGAATGGCCGGAAGGACCAAAAAAAAAAGGAAATGGAAATTAACAAGTAAAAGAACAGAACAAAACCTGGATATGATCTGGACCAAGCAATCTTTGGTTGCATTTCAGAGCTTTGTGGAGATATCTTAGGGCAACATGCACGTTGCCTAATCCTTCCTCCATCATAGCCACGTTAATGTAAGTTGCAGCAGTATTTGGATGAGATGGGCCACAAGTTAGGTGTAAAAGATACAGTGCACGCTTTACATACCTGATCAACAAGAATTAGTATTTTTGAGTCTATGCATGAAACCACAAAGATTGGATAATCATCATGAAAAATAAACCTAAATATGCATAAATCATGGTCAGATTCCAGAAAATATCTTGATTTATGCTCATATTCCAGAAGATTTCTTGAAAAACTTACAAAATAAGAATCAACTACAGTCGGAGCTTATAACAGATAAATATACGCCTATTTTTAACATTTCTACCAATATGTGGAACTATGTTCCCGAGGATAAATAATTGGTTCCTCATCCAATTAAACAGTTTAAGGTATGGGCTAGAAGAAACTATGAGACTTCATTGAAACTAAAGAGTATGGCATACTTAAGAGCCAGCTCTGTATGCTGAAGTCTGTAATAGAACACAGCAAGATCCCCATAACTCTTCATTGTATCTGGATGATCAAGTCCCAGTTCTCTTTCGTTGATATCTAAGGCTTTCTGCTGATATATTGTCGCCTGTGTGAGGACAAACATTAAAAATTAGAACTAAGTTGAGAACCTCTAGTAGTCTTAAGAAATATATAGGAAGATTCTAGGGGCCAAAGATCCCAAACAAGAAAAATATTTGGTTGAAAAATGGACCTGATTGAAGTCTCCAGTATGATATAAAACTACAGCAAGAAGGCTATAAGCTCCTGCTGTCATGCGGTGATAGGGACCACATACTGCTACCAGCTTTGCAAGAGCCTACAAGGACCACAGAAATACAGCAGGTTACAAAGGATAAAAGAAAGGGTAAAAGAAAAGCCCTGTGAAATCCCTTGTTGCTAGCTTAAAAAAAAAGGAAAAGATCAGCATTTTGGCATCTACATACTTTTGTTCCGTAAGTAACAGCATCTTCAAGTTTCCCCTTATCTAAAGCTGTTTTTGATGATTCTAGAAGTTGTCTTCCATCAGCAGAAGAGCAAGCAGCTTGCTGCAGAGAATTAAAAATGTCATCCAATGGGGAAAAAAAAAATTGAAGTCATTCAATGGAATATTGGTCAGGTATAATCAAGCCTGAGACAAATTGCTGTGCATTTTTTCTTCTAATTCCAGGTCTTGTTCATTACCTTGTGCACTGGTACCAGACTGACAACATCTGATTTCCGGAATGGGTTTGGAGAATCCATGTCAAAATCCCTCGGAACCAATTCAATGCCAACCTAAAAGAACATAAAATAGGAAATCTTGCATTAATATTAACATTTTTAACCATAACCACAATATAAATGCAAAATGCATCCAGGACAAACTTACTGTTTTTTACTTTTTCCCCAAGACAAGATAAACATCAGTTTAATTTGCAGTATGCCTAAAATCAACTAGTGTAATTGGTCTCTATCCCTAAAATATGACATTCAGAGAAAGACCACTTTGCCATTCATGAGAAGTACCATCGCAATTGATAGTGCAATGCTACAGATCCATCTCCCAAAAGGGCTAATGGTGGTACTTTTGAGGTCACTGAACCATAAATATATACCAATATCCTTCTAATTGCACCATTAATGTGTTATGTTAGGCATTTCTAAGTACCCAAAAAATTTTATATATGGAGTTTTAGCGAGAGGAAGTATTTGCTAGAATAAGTGAGACCATACAGAACATTCACCAAAGTGAAACACAACCAAGACAATTTCAAAACTTATGTTGGAAGTACTATTTATTAGATACTGCCCATTTATTAATCATGAAATCGTTCTCGTTGCGGACAACATTTTTATTTTCTTTCCAACAGAAACAAAAACTTGAGAGACAATTCATTGAGATTGTTTTAGACTAGTAAAGAACAGAGTAAATTTGGATTAAGAAACTTTGTAAATAGAAAAGACAAATAATTAAAAAATATATTTTCAAAGTACTCAAAAAGACAGAAATTTAAAAAAGAAAACAAAAGCTGGACATGCCATTACATGAAGAAAAAATTTCAGTTGTTTTCCACAAATTGAACCCACCATAAAGGAATGATGATAAAGAAAAGAAATGGAAACTTGTGGTTTTAAAAGGGAAGAATGAGAAAGATATTTTTTTTGGATAGCTAAAAGTTGTGAATTTAAAGAAAAGATAATGATTGGAGAAGATCATAGCAAAAGTCTTGTCAAAAAGAATGTCTAAAGTGCTAGGAAGGGTCATCGGTGAGTGTCAACATGCTCTTGTAAGAGGAAGACAACTCTAGATGTAGCCCTAATTGCTAATGAGGTTGTTGATCACCTTTTGAAAGGTGGAAAGAGTGGCATCTTAAGCAAACTGGATATAGATATGGCTTATGACCATGTGACTTGGAGCTTCCTCTTTTATATGTTGGATAGATCAGTTCGGTGAAAAATGGTAATAGTTGGATTAAGGCTTGCATTACATCCGCATCGGTTGCAACTATGGTGAATGGAGGACCTTCTGTTTTTTTTAAAGCATCTACGGGATTGAGGTAGGGAGATTCTCAATCCCTAATGCTTTTCATAATGGTTATGAAGCTCTTAACAAACTCTTTTCCAATGCTAGGGGGGCCGAATTTTCAGAGGATTGTGTTGGGGAAGAAGAAGGGAGGATGGAAGTGAAATCACCTATTCTTTATTAATGATACTTCATTATTCTTTGAAGCAGAAGATAGGGCTCTGTGCAATATTAGATTTGCACTGCTATGTTTTGAGGCAGTTTCGGTTCTCAAAAGCGATATATCAAAGTCAGAATTGGTCATAACTGGGGATGATAATAAGGTAGAACAGAAGGTTAGAATTATGGGGAGTAATCGTATGATCTTCCAATTAAGTACTTGGGGCTGCCGTCAGGTGTTAAGTTGAAGAAGCTATTAACTTAGGACCAGTGGGTAAACAGATTTGAATCACGATTGCCTGGGCAGAAGAGGGGCTTGCTTTCTAAAGGCAGGAGTTTGATATTAATACAAAGCACACTTGCAGGATTCCTATTTACATGATGTCCTTGTCAACAATTCCTTTCAGTGTGGCTAAAAGACAGGAGAAAATCCAATTTAACTTCCTTTGGAGCGACACAGTAGAAAATAGAAAATATCACATGGTACCTTGGGATAGATTGAAACCATTACAGGGAAGTGGCTTGGCTTTGAGATCTTTGACAAATCTAAATAGAGCCCTTCAGGGAAGGTGGTTTTGGAGATTCATGATGGGGTAGGAGAGTCTACAGAGGAGATTATAAAGTTGAGGCACGGGATGGATGGTCATGGTTGGTTCTCCAAAAATACTAAGGGCCCGTATGGAGTAAGTCTGCGAAAGAGAATCAGGATGGAGACGGGAGATTTCTATCAGTATATTATGTGGAAAGTTGGGTCAGGATTCAGAGTGAGCTTCTGAAAAGATGATTGGATGGAGAAAGGTGCTTTGTGTCATCAATTTCCAAATATTTATACAGCTGCACTAGACAGGGATGCCACAGTAAATGATTATATGGTAGGATAAGGCAATAACCTGGATTGGTGGATAGGGTTGAAGGGAAACTTAAACTGTTAAGAGATCTCAGAGTACATGAATCTATTGGAGACACTATCATTATTCAGAAGGAGCCAGTCCGTAAGATATACGTTGTGTTGGAAATTAAATCCTTCCGGTGTTTTCTCAGTGAAATCCTATTATGATATCTACATAGGGGTGACCCAGAGGATGTAAATTTTCCTACTAAGCTGATGTGGAAAGTGAAAGAAACTCCAAGGATATCCTTTTTCACATGCGAGGCTATCAAGGGTGTCCAGATGAAGTGCATCCTAATGCTGGATAACCTTATTAAGAAGGGGAAAATTCTTGCGAATAGTTGCTACTAATGAAAGTGAGAAACTAAGTCTTGTAGAACCTCATTAAGGGAAAAATTCTTGTGAAAGGTTCCTGCCTGTGTAAGAGAGAAGTTGAGTCCTATAATCATATTCTTTTGTGGTGTCTGTTTTCTCATAATTTGTGGAGTTTGACTCATGGTCTTCTAGGACTGGATTGGGTCATTGAAGATCTGTAAAGGAGGTTATGCACTTGGGTTAGAATTCACAGGGATAAGAGATTGAGACTTATCCTGTTGACTACCTTTTGGGTAATTTGAAAAGAGTGGAGTAGAAAGGCGTTCAAAGGTGTTGAATCTAATTTTGACAAATTTAAGGATATTTGGTTCCATACCTTAAGTTTTTTGTTAGGAGGTTATCCGTTAGATTCTATCGATGACCTTAGGGATCTTATACATATTTTAATAAATTTTTTTTTTAAATATAAGACAAGAAATATTATTCACAAAGGTACCAAAGGGTACCGCCCATGTACAAAGTATATATTACAAGTCTATTATAAATGGTCCATGATCCAACCAAAATAATCCCAATCTTATACATATTTTAATAAACATGTAAATGTTATATATGGGTTGCATCGTTTTGGTGCTGGTTAATATACATACTTTTTATTTCAAAAAAAAAAACGAGAAAATGATTGTTTAATTTTTTACAGAATTTAGATTGTAAAGAAATGTAATGGATTAATCATAATAAATGTTCTAAATTATGCCTTTTATTCATAACATGACGGGCTAGATAGCAAATAAATACAAGTTTAATTGTTAAAACTTTTTTACCTCCTTTCCTTTTCTTTTGTTATTTCCTACATTTCGGGGAAATGAAAAAATTAGAATTTTAAAGAAAAGTGTGGGACCATGCCTTCGTTTCTTTACTCCTTTTTTGTTTTTAAATATGACTTTTTTTTTATACTTTTCCTCCCATTTCCTTCAGTCCAAACAAAGTGCAAAACCTATCTAACTCTGACACTCACCCAGTTGTACTACATCTACATCTCTTGCCATTATTGAAGCCATCCAGCATAATCTATGAATTGTGGAAAATACCAAGGAATCGGAAATTAATGACTTACATGGTGTGTCACTCCGAAAAACCTAGGACACGAGATACTATCATTTATACCTTGCGGCATAATCCACATGGATTGGCAAAATTCCTTCCTTGAAGTTAAAACCACTAAGAAATGTATAATTATAACTTCATAAAATGACACGCTATACAGTTAGCAGTGAAGTAGAAACTCTTATCACTAAAATTTTTTACTATTTTCCTTTTCTTCCTATTCCCACATTTTGGCAGGAATTGAAGGAACTAGGATTTAAAGGAAAAGTATAGGAAATCTCTCCCTTTTGTCTTACCCTTTTTTTCATTTTTATCCAAACAAGTACAAGGATTACTTTTCTTTCTATTATTTTCCTACCATTTCCTTTAATCCAAACAAAGTGCAAAGCCTATCCAACTCCAGCACCACCCAGTTGTCCTTCATCTATGTCTCTTGCCATTGTTGAAGCATTTTAGTATAATTTAAAATTATATATGATGCATCCCATGATTCAAATAACTGAAGAACATAAGCTTCTAGCATGCTGGATGGGTCACTTTGGAAAACCTTAGAAACTAAATATTATCTTTAATACCTTGTGGCATAATCCACGCAGAATGGCAAATTTCCTCACTTCCTTGTAGTTAAAACTACTAAGATCCCATTTGTATCGCTTTATCAGGAATAGCTCCAGCCATCTCCATACAAGTGAATGGACATTCCAAGACTTGAGTAATGCTCCATCTTTAGGAACTCCAAGCATCAAATTCAGTGCAGCAGCTATTGATACTGCCATTTTCTCAGTGTCAGTAACAGCAGCAATCACTGCCAGCAGAATGTGTTTAAATGCTCGAACTATCATCTCATGAACACAGAGTGACTGAACATGTGATAGCTTTTCTGAGAGCTTGACCTGATACATTAAAAAGAAAAAACAGAAAGGATCAGTTACATGGAAAAGCTATTTAACTAGCATTTTGAACTCACATACTACAGTTCAATCCACTGCATCCTCATTGGAACTTTATTTTACAAAAGATCTTTTTTTTTTTTTGGGAGAAAATATCCTTGTTAGGATTTCACGTCAAGCATTAGGATATGGCATAGTGCAAGCTGAACACAGTACTAAGAGAGAAATCCTATATCCTCCATTTTTCTTTTCTTGTAGAGGGTGGAAGGTTGGAGCTTCACAACCCAAGCTGTCTAACAATTCTTTTCACATCAGTTTACAGATACTTAAACTAAAGAACACTACAAAAGGTTAGTTCATTTTTTTGGGGCAAGAAATTGTTTCATTGCCACCTTACCTATAGGAGAGAAAACCCATTACTAAATTGTGGCTCTACCTATTTAGAGACCTGAAGAAACTGATCAACATGTTTTATGAAATCAGTAATTTTTTTTTTCCAATGTTTATCAAGAGTAGAGAAATCTAGGACTTTAGAAGATTATATTAACACCACAGATTTACAATGAACAACTCTTATTTTGATACATTTCATGACATGAGATACTTTACATTGTGGGCTCGGATAGTAGCCAATGATCATGAGTATAATTAGTGAAGAGTCCACAAGATACAAGGATATAATATATAAACAATGCTTGACAGAAAAGCTGAAAATGACTATTTATTACCATATAGATAATTACCATAAAGATGCTTATAGAAACTCTATTGCCTTCAAACATATCCAAAGAAAAAGTACAAATTTCGAAATTTGTGTACTAGGTGAATATTTGGCACTTACAACATGTCCCAGAGAACGCATCCGAAGACCTCTAGTATGCATGAAATCAGTTAAGGTTCGACCATCAACAGGTGAAAGCTCCAAAGAACCAAAATCTGCTACCTGCATCCCATTATTAGCACTAGAACTAGGTCGAGCCATGATCTCATTTACATGCAGAACAATAAGAAAATAAAGCAGATAATAGTATAAGTACCAGTTTCGGAAGTGCAACTTCATTGTAGTATTTTTGAGATAATTCAACAAGTTCTTGCATGGACTGCACAATTCACACAGATGGTTAGTTCAAGCTGCACTATATACAGGAGAATAGTAAAGCCTTCGGATCATATAAAATTACCTTGCAGTGAAGTCCTGTTTCTGATTCTTTTAGTCGACTAAATGCTGCATCAGGCAGCAAAGCTTTTAACACAAGTTCATTATCTTTAGCATTGGATTCAACTTCAGATTCCCCAGGAGCAAAAGTATTTCCAGCTTCTCTAAAAGCACCATCCACATGAGCATTTGAGTTTTTAGACAGCATCTTAAGATTGTTCCCTTCTGATTTCTTCTTGTTGTTCTTAAGTGACCTAAGAGGTGTCCCAAGTCCTTCAACCTTCATTTCATGCTTAGCCTTCTCAGCGGATGGTTTTTTATCTTTATCTGCATTCTTTTGATCTTGCAAATGTTGTATCCAGCAGGCACCAAGTTCCCATCTCACAAAATGGTCTCCTTCTTTCTCCTCTTCCTCAAGTTTAGAAAGACTTTCTTCCAACAGCCTTTCTATAAAAGCTTCGGAAGCCACAAGCTCTTCCTGTTCCAGAGCTTGCAATTGTGCAATTTGCTTATTGTGTTCTGAAGGTGTACTGTGAAGAAGACATCTCAAACTGAAAAAGAGAATATAATCAGAGAAGTAATCTTCGAATTTCAAGTAATGTAGTAACATAAAAACCTCCACAAAATAAAGCCAGAAAATTGAAGGAGAACCGCTAATTAAGGAAGGAGATCATAAAGTATATTGATAACTAATAACAATGGCTAGGAAAGAGCTCATAAGTTACATAAAGGTAAAAACGCCACATCAGAAAATCTGCTTGAATCACTACCACACCCAAACAGACAAAAAATAATAATAGTGAAAATAGGTACTGAATCCACATGCCAAATGAACCAAAAACACGTTTTCTGATTTAATCATGGGAAAATACTAAGGTACAAGGTAGCCCTTTCTCTTACATTCCAAGAACAATTCAAGAATTATTATGCAAAACGGCTCAATGATTCAAATAGCACATCCTGTGTTTTTTTCTCTTCCAACAAATAATTAAGCTAAGTACAAAAAACAGAAAAAAAAAACTCTTTTGTTTACCAAAAAAGCAAAATAGGGGATTCTATAGTAACCTGTTGACATTAAGAGCATTGGCACCGCCTTCAGGCTGTTCAAGAAGTTCAATGCTTTTAGATGGAGGCCTGACTTTCTGGATCTCTCTCTCATCAACTTTCACAACGGCAACATAACCACAATATCTTACATTCACAGCACCAAGAGTAGCAACATCCTGCAACAAAAGATAAGTCTCTCCTTAACCATTTCAAGAATTAAACAAGAAAAAGACATAAGTAACATCCTATTATTGAAGGTAACCTTACTGAAAATTACATATTCCAACATTGCATAATAATCTTACATGGGCAGCAGTATTTTCGTCAGCTGTGACCCCTTTCAGTAGATTGCGCTCCACCAGCTTCTTTTGTTCCATTCTAGTTGCTTGAATTCCATCAATCTTAGTGTCCACCTTACAGCTTGCATTAGAAGTATCTCGCATGACTTTAACATATAGATCCCCTAATCTCTCCGTGTAAAGAATTTCATGGTTTGCTGCTGCATAGAATGAATCTGGCTTTCCCATCACATGCTTCACAGCCTGAATGGCTCTGAAAATAGCAACATCAACAAATAGGCTGTGAAGAAAGAAATGCTCTCCCTGTCCCGGACTTGCCGCTCCTCTGCTGTCCCACAGGGCATGGATGCAACAAACAGAAACTCATTAGCCCAAGGAATCAAGTCACTTCTGCCATCTCTACCCAGACCTCCTCCATTTCCGCCCCAGATCTCATCCTCCACAGGAAGAGGCGGGAAGACTGATGGTGACTGTGCTGCAACGGGAGGAATCAGCCATGTGTTGGCCCTGAAACCGTAAGGAAGGTTCCCAAACTGCAAGAGCATCAAAAAGTTTAAGTATCCTAATAGATAAACTAGAAGGATCGAAACTGCATATTAGCCTGCAGCAGATGTTTATTTAACTTCTGCTGCTCAGAGAAGAGTGTCTACCTTGTTACGTTCTGAGAATGCTTTCATTAGATCACTGTAAGCCTGAGAATATTATGTAAAACAAACCAGCTTTTTTACAAATTAAAACAAAAAAGTAAGAAGAAGAAATAGAGAAATAACTGGACTCTCGTAATGATTAAGAAATAGGCTAAAGAATAAAAAAAATAAATTAACCTGTAACATTTCATCGAGAAAGGAAAGAAAGTAAAACTGACATTGTCAAAAGCTCTACTGAGCTGTCGTAACAAATCGACTAGGTTATGACACAAGATCCGCTGCTTCCCGATGCTGTAGAACCCCTGTTTACAAGCTTCGACATGAACCGACTTCCCATTACAAAGCTTCACCTGAGACCAGCCAAGAGAAGAGTGATATCATAATCTTAAAAAGCGAAAAAAAAAAAAAAAAAAAAGAGGAACAAACAAGACGAAACTTTACGTAGCTATGAGATCGTCTGATTGAGGCTTTACCTCGAGAGAAAATAGATGATCATCCCCCGAAATCTCATCGGTATGCCGTTTAGTTACCCTCTTAATGACTGTACCAGAACTCATAGCCTAAATCATGTCAACATAAACACAGAAATACTAATCTTTTTTTACAAAAGAAGAAGAGAAAGGAGAGTACATTGAAGAGGAGGAGTCAGGTGTGAGAGGGAGAAGAACTCATAGAAGTTTCCAAGCTTAGGGCAAGAGTGGTTCGCTTCTCCCTCGATATCCATCGCCACATCCTTCGATGAAGATTGCTTGCTTGCAGTTGCGATGGTAGTGGTTTTCTTCGAATTCGTGGCAACCTTATCCTGTGCACTAGGCGCATTCCTTCCCACTTCGGGCTGCGGATGATCTTTGCTTTGTGCTGATGGACCAAAGGACGTCGTGCATGCGACGATATCAAGTACCCGCCTGACGTGCACCATCGCACTCTCTTCATCGTAGTCCTCTGGTTTTCCACGGACAGCACCGGAAACAGAGAGCGAACTAGTTAGATGAAATAACGAAAACTGGAAATGCTGAATAATGCAGAGTAAATGAAACGGTAAAGCAACTGCTCCTCTTGACGTCGTTGTCTTCCTAAGTGACGCGGTAAATGAGCCATGAGCGAATGATTGATTGCCTTGGCAAAATGCTTAAAAAGAACACGACGCCGTTTTAGGAATGACGCGAAATTCGTACCTTCGGTTAAAATAACAACTAATGGCTTCAGTGCTGCGACGTCGACCGTGTCTTTTAACCGCGGCCCTCTAACCTGTAAAATCCGAACCGGATACAATTATATCTCGAGTATATTGCCATTAACCCTTGCCTCCTCTATTGTGAATCTTGCAATTTTCCGCTCCCAAATTGCAAAAAGTTATGTAAGAAAAAAGAAAGCAGGGAACTCCATCAAGGTTGGTGTTTAAAATCATATTTTTATGAGAAGAATTATTTATTACAATGACTAGGAAAATATTGGTCATATATTTTTTTATTTAAGTTTTGGCACATGAAATTATGAAGGTCAAAAACTTTATATGAGGAGAATATTTTGAGAGGGAAATTTGCAGCAGGCCTTTAAATTAATTACCTCATGCGACAAGGAGAAATTTGTGAAATTGCAAGTTTCGACGTTCACAGATAAAAGCCGACGAACGTCAATGATTCTGTCTGTCGATATCCCCTGCCCAATTTTTTTCAATTCAACATCAAGTGTTAAAAAATAATATAAAAACATTAAAATATATACCATGAAAAGGATTTAATTTAAAAAGATATATAATTTTTTAAATGGAAATCACCAGACGGCGATCGTCAATATGCTTGACTAGAGGGTAATAAAGGACAAGATTATGAGCAAATAGTATTCCAATTAGGCTCAAATAAATTTGTACATGACAGCTTCTGTATATAGTCAAATTACGCAATTTTCAACAACCCGACGGGACAAATACACGAGAAAAATGCACTTAAAACGTGTATTTACTTATTGTGCGTCCCCGACATAAAAAATAAATAAATAATAGTTCTTTAACCCGTACTGGTAAGTATGATTCTACTAAACAACTTTGTTAACCACTTTTTGCATTTAAGTTATATTAATTTTACTGTTAAATTACATTCTCTAATGGAAAAAAATGTGTATCATGATATTTAACTAATACTACCAAAAACATCATATCATAACCCTAAATTTAAGGCATATTTAGTAGAAGTGGAGGAAAGAAAATTAATTTTTATAAAAAAAATTTATTTTATTATTATTAAAAATGAAAAAAATACATATTATTTCAAAATAAATATATATTTAAATATCATTTATATTAGATTTTAACAAATATTAAGAAGAAAAATCACAAATTTTTTTTTTTTTATTTTTTAATACCAAAATATAATTTTTATTTTGTAAACTCCGCCTGAACAATCACTAACCCAGACAATTAGCCTTTGTTTGAATAGCGTCATGCAAAGGACAGCCTAAGCAATGCTAAATAATTAAATAAAAAAATTAAACAGAGAGTAAGTTACAAAGCATGAATCAAGCCAAGAGTAACCAAAAAAATTAAAAAAAAAACCAAGCACACACAATTGGTACTGCTACTTGTAACTGCATCAAATAATTAATTATTAAAAAAAAAATATTTAGATTAATCAAATTGCTTAATTAGTACTAAATTTTTTGTCACACACAATAGCCATGAGCTAATTGGGAGGGGTGGGTGCTGAGTTACAAACCTTCAAAACGACGTGGGTTTCATCTGGAAGGTTTATGGTGATATCCATGACCACTGGGAGAACTGCGGAAGCATTTATTTAGACTAAATTAAAAAGTTAATAACAGTGATTGATTTAGTTAATTAATTAATTACCTAATTAATCATTAAAATGAGTTAAAAGGTCGACAAAAGTTTATATTAATTTGGACAAAACCAATTAACAAACAATACCCTTCTCTTCTTTCTTCTTCTTCTCTCCCTTTGCCTTTCCACGGTTGTTCCTGGGAGCCATCTTTTGTCAGATGTGACCAAAGCTCAATCCTGTAATTTGAGCTGCAATGAATTAGTGTTTTGATTCATTTCTGTCGGATATTAAACCCTAAATATTCATGGACTATTACTCGAAGGACTCTAAGAAAACAAATAAGGACCAGAATTCAAAGCAATAATCGAGCAGCTGTACAGAACAAAAATCGCAATGTCTAGATGACAGTTAATCCTGCATAAACTTCGTTAACTCAATCGTAATCCAAATTCGAAATTAAAAAATTAATTAAAAAAAAAAAAGGAAGCAATAACCAGAAGAGATAAAACACGAAAACGAAAAACTCAAATTAAATTGAAAACAAGTATTCCGTGTCAGTCCATGAGGATATTGAAGAGAGAGAATCACCAGATAGCAGAGAGAAGAATAATAACAGTGGAGCTAAGCTCAGAAGATTGAAGAAGATAAACAAATGATAAATGAAGTGTGTTTAATGCAAGTAATAATATATAGAAATGTTGTCAAACAAGAGAAACAGCAGGTCAGGTAGCAACAGCCAGTCACAGAAGAAGTTATAGCAGAAGCGCTGCAGACGAAAGAGAGGAGAGGGATGCAATTCAAAGATAGACCGGGAAGAAGAAATGGAGAGGGCTAAGCCATTAAAGGGGGGTGGATTGCAGGTCTCATCCACTGAGATGAAAGAGAGAAGGGGAGCGTGGGTGCGATAAGGAAGGAAGGGCGGAGATTTAAGAGTCAGATGATAAGTGGCGTTTTTATGGCAGTTTCTGGGCTCCCACAGTAATTTTCATTTTCCATGGGGATATATATTAATAAAAATAATATAAAAAAATATAACCAATACAAAACATATATATAAGAAAATAATAATATTTAAAATAATTATATATTACGTAAGCTCGTCAGGTTCGGACCGTAACCACTCCGTAACGCCAACAAGAAATGGTTTGTTGTACTCCATTCCATTCAAAAGGCAGGTGGTTAGTAAGAGTTATTTCTATAAAAGTAATTTAGATCTGAACTATATATAGGATAATTTACGTTAAATAAATAATTTAAATTAGACCATACACTTGAATAAATAATCAATTTCTGTAGAGTTAATTAAAATGATAACATAATTTTATGTAGAGATATTCTTGTACATTATACGTAATGATTATAAATTAAATAATCGGTCACAAAAAAGAATTTTATGTTACTTTAACTACATTTTAAGATAGTATTAATTAAATCAGGTTTTAATTAGTTAAAATGTATTACATAATTTGAAGTAAATATACTTTTGTATATTATATGTAATGATTATAAACTAAATAGTAAATATAACTTCCGGTCCTAAAAATAATCTATGTTACTGTAGGTAGATTTTAGGATACTATTAATTATATTAATTACTTTTTGGTTTTGATTTCTTGATATTGATAGTGTGAGATAAAAAGACACTCTTTTTTCTATTAATTTTATTAATAATTTAATAACTATTAGCTCGTTTTCAAGCGACAAGTCTTACAAGTAGAGAAAATAAAGGTTTTAGGTAAGGAGAAAAAAAGATTTTTATATGCCAAATTGAAGGATCCAAAAGTTTTATTTTCAAATACTTTTAAAGAATTATTTCCTTTTTTTACCATCTTCTTTCCACTAGTTGCCGCTAATTACCAACATTTCAATCCCTACCTCCATAGTAGGGATGAATTTTGAACAAGTTTTTATCATGTATAAACTCAAGTAGGGATAGCAACAAGGGGATTGAAGCACATTTTACCAAAACTCAATTATTTTATTGTACTAATATTAATATAATTATATTTATTAAGCATATTATAATATATTTATTAATATAAATATAACTATATCTATTAATATAGTATACATATTAATATAATACAAATATATTATAATAATAAAAAATTAAATATATATAATATACATATAATGGATCAAATTAGGATAGATTTTGGAATGTCAGACCTGAACTAATTTTGACTTGTCCTTTTTTCCAGTCAACTCAAATATGATTTAATTCGAATCTGTAATTTAATTAAAAAAAATTATAAATGATCGAGTTCGTATCAGATTAAACAAGTTTCAGATGTAAAATGTCATCCCAAAACCTGGTTCACTTTTATGAAATGTGAACCCAAATATACCTTGAATCCAAAATGAGTTTAATTTCTTTTTTATTTTTTTATATGTCTCGTGTTTGTATGTTATTTAACCCTCATCTGACTCGATTTTTTTTACAGTATTATATAAACATAATTATATTTTATATTAATAAAAAATTAAAAATATATATTATTAACACATATTAGTAAATTCATTAATATAAATATACTTGTATTGATATTAATTGAAATAAGTGTATATATATAGTTCAGTTCATACAAATTTTATTTAGTTAAACCTGAATCAATCGAATGTTGCAGCTGCTTTCTCTATGACCCAAACTCGATTTGCTCTAAATTTATTATTTAGTGAAAAAATCACTAACAGTTGTGTTTAGATTTTTCGTCTGTCACACTTCTTAGCTCCTTTAGTTTTATTCCCCTTCATGATTTACACATGTCTCCTTACACCTAATGTTGTAATAGCATTTCTAGATGTCGTTCCTTCTTTTTTTTTTTCATTCATCAATTTATAAAATATTGTCGACCTTCACTCCTTTATTTCTTACTGTAGTGAGAATTGTTTACTACTTTTAAAGGATTTTCAACAACAAAGCTTCTTCTTTAATAGCATCAACTTTAACTAACAAAAAACAAGATGAGGATTTTTATCATGTAACAAGATGTGATGGTAATTTTAAAAAGAAATAAGCATTCCAATAAAGATGGCAAAATGGTTCCAAAAATTTGCAAAAAAAAAATGGCAATTATGGATAAAAGGAATGTTATAACTAATGATAAAGCAATAAGCATATTATATTGTACTTTGAATTCAAATACATACACAGTTGTATCTTAATATGTGTAAGTACTAAGAAAAATGTGACAAATTTAAAGTGATAGAGAATAATTAATAGATAAATATGTAAACTTGAGTTATTTATACGTACTATAAATTATTTGAGATGCATATAAAAAAAGTATACGCTCGCTAAGTTAATAAAATATATTGAATTTTGTCAATGTGTTGGGATTGGCATCTCTCTCAATAGCACTCATCAAAAAAATATTATATTTATTACTCCAAATGGCACTTGTAACGACCCCGGAAATATTAAAATGAAATGAGTATTTAAATATATCAAATGCGGAAGCGAGATCAAAATTTCAATTAACATCCCTTACACGAAAAACCAAACAAACGTACTTAAAATATAAAAGGTTAAACTAACTAAGAGAGGAACTCGAAAATAAGACTATGCGTATGTCTACAGAGTCTCTAGGCATCCCCTTCGTCGTCCTCCTGCGGAACGGGCTCGGGAACCATGTCTTCCTGATCTGAAATGGTTAATTAAGGAGTGAGCTACACTAGCCCAGTAAGAACATCACGATATCTCACCGTCACGGAAATAAAGGTGGGTAGAAAACCACAAAAAGACCAATGGAGCACAATTTACAATAAACTCGTTTATTAACATGAAAACCTTTACCATCCACTTACCTTGGTGGAATTTATGAAAACAATATGAGAAAAACAATAACATCATCATAATCATTTAATAATCTAAGCTGTAAAACATAACACTTATCACGCCTCTTGTAATTCAATCATTGTACAACATATCCCTTTTTCTCATTTACCAGCCTACTAGTATCCGTGGGGGTCCATAGGGGTTCCGCTACCCGTTAACCTTTAACATTCATAATCAGTTTCCAGGGCCGTCCCCATACCCCGTCCGGTATGGGCGCCAAAACCATGAACCTCAATACCCCGTCCGGTATGAGGGTGAAACGGGCCGTCCTCATACCCCGTCCGGTATGGGCGCCAAAACCATAAACCTCAATACCCCGTCCGGTATGAGGGTGAAACGGGCCGTCCCCATACCCCGTCCGGTATGGGCGCCAAAACCATAAGATCTCCATACCCCGTCCGGCATGTGAGACCACAATCCCGGTAGGGTTCCCTACGGACCCGGTCCGTCCACCATCTCCCAGGATATCTAGTCAGGCTGACCCCCATAATACAATTATCAGTCTATACAATCTTTCATTTTCCTTTTCCTCAATCAACATCATCAATTCACATTTAAACAAGCAAATCGTAATTCATACCAACAGACAACATACAATATCAGTTTTTCAGTCATTCAACCCATAATTAATAAAAACGTAGTATATGCACACAAATCTGTAAAATGAACACATCAAACCCCATAATGCATTTAAAGCTGTAAAACAGTGTAAAACAGACCAAATAACAGTAAATCATCAATCACACTAGACTCGGGCTCCATTAGCAACCTTAAGCAATTTCACACATGCGTTAATTCAAGAAATACCATTTTATCATTTTGAACTTTAATACCGTGATAGGAAATAGGGTGAGGGGTCCTTACTTGTTTTCGGGATCTGAATACGATTCACAGTGCGCCTGCAGGCCGTCCCTAATTTTCCCTGAATTTTTCCCGGGAAACTGAAACACACTAACCGTACCTGCACGTGTTCCAAAAAAAATCCAAATTAGGCCCAGGGCCTCTTTCGGCCCAAATCGCAACTCCGGCACGGCGGCTCCGCCGTGCTCCGGCGACGGCGCCGCCGCTGGCGGCGGCGAGTCACCTCGGGTTGACTGTTTTCGGCCGTTTTCGGCCGAATTCGGCCACACTCGCATTGGTCCTTGTCAGAAAACAACCCTAGGGCCCTCGGGGGGCCAAAAAATCACGGAAAAACGGAGCTTACCGGTGGCGGCGCTCTCGGGTGCAGCGGCTCTCCGGCGAGGTTCGTGTTTTGGTGATTCGGCTCCGGTCAACCTGTAGAGAAAAGAATGGTGATCACGGTGATATAAAAATTGCATCGAACGGAGGCCGGGAAGGGCCTCGTCGGAGGCAAAAACCGAGAGGGGGCGCGGCGGCGCCGCTGGGCTTCGGCCGCGTATTCCGGCCGTTTGGCCGGGATTTCGGTTTCGATTTGGCCATAGGAGGAATCAGTGGGGAAAAACGAGTCGGGGGTATGAAATTTACCTCGATCGGCGGTCGGAAATTTCCCCGGTGCGGCGGCGAGCGGCGGCGGGTGGCGGCGGTCGGCCTCTGGTTCGTCTTCTCCGGCGAGCGGCTGGCGGCTAGGGTTTGTGGTCTGGTGTGGGGGTTCTATTTATAACCCCTTGCCTTTTGATCACAGCCGTTCATTTTGTTTTAATCTGGGCCGTTCGTTTTTGATTGAATCTGGGCCGTCCGTGCGATTGAATCTGGGCCGTCCGATCGCGTGATTGATCTGGGCCGTCGGATCGCACCCACGCGGATCGCCAACGTGGCTCCTTTCGGAGTGACGCGATCTTGCCACGTGTCAGGCCCTGGTTGGCCGGGACTGCTGACGTGGCTGCTGACGCGGCTGCTGACGTGGCCCCCCCCCCTTTTTTTTTTTTTTTTTTTTTTTTTTTTTTTTTTTTTTTTTTTTTTTTCCTCCTCCTTTCCGGGTGCTACAACTCTCCCCCCCATAAAGAAATTTGGTCCCCAAATTTGCCTCATTACTCTTGATCAAACAGATGAGGATATTGGGCCCTAAATTCTGATTCCAGCTCCCAAGTCGCCTCCCTAGGTGTGTGGTTCTGCCACAAGACTTTTACAAA